TATTGAAATGCTTCTACTGAAATATGCATTAAAATATTTAATTAAATAATTCGTCATTATCCTTCAGTATTGTCAATTTATAATATTCTGTAGCACATATTTGTTTATACATTTAATCTATATGGTAATATGTAACTTTGGTAAGACTTTGAATCTGTGCCAAGTTTAATTATAGATCACCTAGCAATTCTGAAAGCTACAGAAAACAGAATCGGAGCATGCACACAACCTGTACATCTGTTTAAAAGTTAAATCTGATTTGAGGTAGTACTTTAGAATTTTTGTTTCTTTTCTTTTTGCTTAAACATTGCTTCTAATTTACAAGAAGCATTAGAATCAAGATGTTTTTAATTTTTATATGTATGAAATTTGTGTATTAGCTAAGCTAAAGTCTAGTTCTGGCAAAAAATTTCTGAAGCTTCAATAGTGGGTGCTTGTTAAATGTTTTTATGTGCATATGCTTAGATCAGGGGTTATAATTTTATGCACTGCATAATTTGTAATAATATTATGTTGTCATTAAATGTTATAGTAATTCCTATAAGTCACAGTAATTTTTTTCCTTTTTTAAGTGGTAAAAAACATTTAAATAAATTAATATTGCGTTTAATTATAGCATAACAAGAGAGACACTTGCAGACAAGGAAAAGCAAGCGGTCACAGTATTTGAGACTGCAGAAGGAAGTGAAGTGAATTTGTATGAACTTCCTATAAATAATAGTATTGATAATAGTACTCCACTTTCTACTAAAATGAGTGATAAAGAATATTCAAATGATGAAGTACCACTTTTGCAAGGAAAATCAGATGATGGAAATACTCAAGGAAGTAATGGGATGCACCATAGCAACAGTGTTTCTAAAATGGCATTGCATTTTAAAGCATTACAAGAAAAAGCAAATTCGAAAGAAAAGGATGGTTTGTCTCAAAAGACATCGAGTAAAGGTTCACGTGGCATACAACGTTATAGAGAACGAAAGAATCAAGGAAACGATAGATTTAACACGCAACCGGTAACTTTTCAAGAAGTGCAGGAAGCGGTTTTACAAAATCAACGCAATGCTACATCGGCTAGAAAATCGAGTTTGACAGAAGATAGTTTAACAGCAACTGATGATGAGTTTGATCCTTCTAAATTAAGTTTGGCAGAACGAGTGCGTTTATTTAATCAAAAAATTGATACTGAAAAGAATTCAGTATCCAATAACGTATCATTAGAAAGGCATTCGCGTAGACGGCCAGCTGCTCGTTATAAAACACAACCAGTTACATCTGAAGAAGTTGAAGTAGCGTCTCGAATATCCCCATTAAGTACTATTAATCAATCTTCTTTAGATACTGGTAAGTTCTGTACATTATTGAATAATGTTTTCATGCAGCATAAATTATCGACACCTTAATCATTTTTAAAGGTGATGTACCAAAAAGCATTTTAAAACCTGTAACGTTACACGCGCATAGTTTGCCCCGTGCAAAAAGTCCTGAACTTGAAGGTATGAAGTTAATAAAATCTGTACTTAAAAGGGAATCTGAGGAATTAGAACAACAGATACTAGAAGATTGTGATACTTTACCACGTTCTATATTAAAATCTAATGTAAAATTGGAAGAAAATAAAGTAAGTTACATTGGATTAAAAAAAAGAAAGAATGATTTTTAAGATGATCAAGGACATTAATTTTGATGTAAGATTTTATATACAGACAGGAAGCATAATGGAAAATAATTATTCTACACAGTATGATTTGAGTTGTGCCTATACTGGGAAGGATAACCATACAGAAGGTAGGCAATATGAAATTAAACAAAAACATACAGTGCCTTTTCACAAAAATAGTACTCAGGATGAATTAAATAGAACAAGATTCAAATCTGCATTAGATGACGTAGATAATATTCAAACTATAATTACTACATCTAAGAAACATGAAGAAACACATCAAACATCTGGAGGTGAGACATCCTCTGTAAGTCATGAAACATGTAACATAAAAGATGAAGCTGTGCCTCCTTATCATCAGCCTATTTTTTCAAAACAAACCAGGTAACAAATTCTATATTAATGTATTCGTAAATTATTTTAAGTGAACAATAATTCTACATATTAATATTGGGTATTAATAAATATTATAAAAGTTACATAAATTATAGAAACTACTAGGTTTCTAGTATAGTATGCCTTATCATGAACAACTTTCGCGTGACGTTGAACCTTCTATTTAGTATTACGGCTACTGATAAGATTATCTCATGTAAAAGAACATGAGTGTAAACATATATATGTATTATAATTAACTACTTATAGGTATGCTTCATTGTTGAAGAGTGCCAGTCATCACGCGATTAGCAACAAAATCAACGAAAGTGAATCAAGTAATCCAACAATACAAAAGCAGCATGCTGTAGCTCTCCCAGGATTATATCGTAGTGCAACGCAAGCAATACCAACAATAGATACTAATGATGGTCCAAGCATGAGTATTGCAGAACGGTTGGCTGCTCTGCAACGTAGCGGAAATACAAACTGGAAGCGACGTATAGCACCTGAGATGTCTAATTTATCGGTAAATTACATCTTACAGTTTCGTTACTTATATTAAAATGAAATATCAATTATTATTAATAAAAAATAATTATTAGGATGCACTGAACTCTAATTCATCTAATAAAGAAGAATTGAGTATCAAACAAGGAGTACTTGCCGATTGTCTTGGAAAATTAGAATCCGCTACAGAGGGATGGAAGAAGAGAATAGCTGCTTCGGATGCAACGAAGTTTACAGTAGCTGGCAAAATGAAGGTAGAAAAGCCAGAAAAGTTAGATCCAGGACCATCTTCGCCCCTTATCGAAGTTACAGGAAACATTATAGATAGAAAGAAGAAAACGCCTCGTCCTGAACGATTTAGAGCGAAAAAAGGTAACTTTACACGAGATATTTTCAATGTATTTTTATATTTAAATTTCTAAGCAAAGTATTAATAAAAATGCATAATGTGTTCTTAGGATACGCGAAAGATATTGTATCTACTCCAACTAGTCCAAATAAGGATTCATGTATTAAATTACGAGGAAGCTTTTCTGAACCTACAAGCGATGATAGTGGTTAGTGGACAGATAACTTGAAAGTTACATCAGAGTATATTTTTTTAAATATCAGCATTACTTGACGATATATTTTATAGGAGAGGAATTAAAAACAGAGAAAAATGTGTCACCTGTTGTCCCAGTACCTAAAATAGATGATGAAACGTTCACCTCCTTCTTTACTGGAATTTCATTAGAGAAATGCGAGGCTGAATCTGTTGATTTAAATGAAAGCGATTTTGATATGATTACAACACAATCCGAATTGTAAATTTTTCTGTTATTAATATCACCGATTATATAATATATTAAGTTCCAGTTTTCACAGATTTATATTTTTACAGACTGGTTCAAAAACGAAATATACGGTTGAAACGGCGACGTATGATATCTAGAAATCCTCTTAGAACGCTTGCCGCTCGTACTGATTTGAAATCAGAGTATACTGAGATACGAACTGGTGTTGCAGAAAAAGTAATGAAACAATTAAACGTCGAGAAACGTAAGTCTTTGTCGTATTTTATTTAATATCATTAATATATGGTATTACAATAAACACGTTATTATATTATGTTACAGTAGCTAAAAATTCATCGTTAGCTATGGAAGCTCTAGCTGGCCTAGCTTCTACTGAAGACTTTAGTAATATAACATTAAGGAATGTAGCAGAAACAAATATTTCAACAAATAGGTTACAACCATACAAAGACTTAATGTTACTTTTGATTAAAGGCAGACGGCACGTACAAGTGAGATTAGTTGAGCCAATAGTGGAAAGTATAAATAGTGGTGATAATTTTGTTCTTGTAACAAAATCAGAGGTAATCAAAGGAATATTATCTTATCGAATCTATTTAAAATATTATGATGCATTTGTTATTCTTAATTTAGGTTTATAATTACATTGGAAAGTATTGCAACGTTATTGAGAAAGTTCGAGGTGCAGAAATTGCAATGAGTATTCAGCAAAATAAAGATCTTGGTTGCCAAGCATCTCAAGTAATTACTATTAATGAAGATAAAGTAACTTGTACAAAAAGTCAGTTGCAAAAATTTTGGAATTGCCTCGGCGTTGAAAGTGAAAACATGGATGGTAAAATAGTAACTTTTACCTTATCATTTATTTTATAGTAATACTATCTAGAAAATTAATATTACTGTATTAATAGCAGTTATTGATGGCGGGCATCCTGAAGAGGATGAACTTTATGAAACATTTATGATTGATACAAATATGGTATATGAAATTAAAGATGAGGAGCTGGTGCCTCTTGAAAAATATTGGGGTGGTATACCAAAAATTGAAATGCTTGATCCAAATAAGGTTGGCATTTTAACATTACCCGTACTTTTCGTAATTAACGTAACTATAAATAATTATATTTTTATTTTATAAGGTGCTAGTATTTGATTTTGGTAGTGAAATGTACATATGGAGTGGAAAAGGAGCTTCTGCTGATAAAAAAAGACTCGCAACGCATCTTGCTACAGAAATGTGGCAAGAAGGATACGATTATTCGGAATGCACTGTATGTCCAATTAACGCGGCATCTATGATTGGTAGACGCACCGTATCAAAAACGGACTTAAAATTTGCTAAAAGCAGACCTAAATGGTGTTTACTTGCCAAGTTGACACAGCACGTCGAAACGATACTTTTCAGAGAAAAATTCCTTGATTGGCCAAATGTTTCTGGTATAATACGTGTTCGAGGCACTAAGAACAAAGAGCAAGTTGATGGAACTATAACTATAGAAGTGTGCAATATTAATAATTTGCTGGAAGAAAATATGACTCCTGTTGATTTAGTTCTTGAAGGAAGTCATTTGGGCAGAGGCACTGGTTGGTATGACAATGAGGTAATGGTATATTACTTTGAATAGTATACAGCGGACAATCATTATATGATTTAAATAATTCAAACATATTCTATTCTATTCTTCAATTGTTGTTAATCAGTTAATGAAACAAACCATTGTCACGACAACGGGTGTGCAAGTTTGGCATATTGACGAATTCTCGCATACTCTTCTGGGTGATTCATCTGTTGGACAATTTTATTCTGGAGATAGTTATATCGTGCATTGGATGTATTCTATTACCATTACTGGTATGTGTTAAATTTGTTACATCTCAGTTCTTTAAATTTTTTATAATGAATAAGCATTACATTGCTTTTTATCCAGGGCGTGAGCTTAGTGGTTTACCATCGAAACATTCTGCAAAAGGTCGCGATCGCTCGGTATATTTTATTTGGCAAGGGCAAAATGCGTCTTTGAATGAACAAGGTGCTGCAGCATTACTAACTATTGAATTAGACAATGATCAAGCGCCTCAGGTAATTATATTGAATTAAAAGTACTGCTTGAATAAATATTTGAAACTTATACCTATATTTTTTACAGCTTCGGGTAGTCCAAGGGCACGAGCCAGCTGCATTTCTAAATTTATTTTCTGGAGGAATGATTGTACATAGTGGCAAGAAAACGAATACAAAATGCGACGAACGGTGGCGATTGTATATATGTCGAGGTACTTTAGAGTCAGAGGTGTCTTTAATAGAGATTCCTTGTAGTACTCGTCAATTACGGAGCAGAGGTTCTCTTATATTATTAGACACTAAAAACGACAAAATTTATGTGTGGCATGGATCTAATACATTACCTCATATTAAAAAGGTATTTTTAAATTCTGTAGTACAACAATATAAGAATAACACAGAAATTAAAATACCCTTCATGTTTCTTGTTAGTAACTCCAAAATATGAAGATAGGGTAATATTTAAACATAATTAATTACCAATTTGGATTAGTGTAGTTTAGCAAATATTAAAAGCAACTTTTTTTTTATGTACGTAATGGTAAATTGTTTTTAGAATGTATTTAGTGCAGCGACCAAATTAAAAGAAAATCGACCTCAGGAAACGGGCTTGTCGCCTGAAAGTGATGTAGAAATTTTTGAAAGTGATGAGGGAATGGAACCCGAGGAATTCATTACTGGTAAGTAGAAATTTAAATATTCAATACTATCTTATTAATATCTTCGAGTCATAAATGAAATACATGTTGTTATACAGCATTAGGGAGAATGAACAAAAAACTGTATGTGTCGTTAGAAAAAGATGAATTACAGGAACATACCCCAAGACTGTTTCATTTGTCAAGCATTTCTAAGGAATTTAAATCGGTAGAAATATTGTGTCCTCATCGTGCTTCTTTGCCAACTCCATTTCCTTTTCTGCAGGAAGATTTATATCAAGTGCATCAACCAGGTAGTTTATAAAATATTATGAACCAACAATTTTTTGCTTAATTGTTTCGTACATAAACTAATTAAATTATCATTTTAGCCTTATTTTTATTGGATAATAAAAATGAATTATGGATATGGCAAGGCTGGTGGCCAAATACTGGGGCGGAAGATCAATCTGGTAGTAAAGCAGTTAGATGGCAAGCTGAAAGAAGAGCAGCCATGACAATGGCCATGCAGTATTGGCAAACAATTCATCCAGAAACTAATAAATATCCAATTTATCTAGTCTGGGCTGGTCTCGAACCTTTACAATTTATAAACTTATTTCCTACGTGGACATATCGCGACGATATCGCGGAATTAAATATAGAGGTATTTTTACATTTACTAAAATTGTTAAAATTATATGATTCAAAAAAATAATTCTTGAATAGGATGGGCGAAATCCTGGAGAGGTGTTGACTGTTGAAAGCGAATTGGTGCGCTTAACACAGAGTACGTATCCTCCAGCTCAATTATTACAACGACCACTACCGGAAGGAGTTGATCCTACACACTTGGAATTGTATCTATCCCAACAACATTTTCAAGTAAGTTTTAAAAACCTTAGTAACAAATGAATTTTGATTGTGAAAGGCACGTGTTTCGTGTGTTCTGGCAGGAACTGTTAGGTATGACTCAAGAAGAATTTCAAGAACTTCCAGTTTGGAAACAAGTGAACCTTAAAAAAGAAATAGGGCTTTTCTGATGAAACGTCCAAACTGCCGATCCTACGAAAAATAGCTGCCCCTGTAAAGCGATTAATAAAGTTTTTGTTAATTGTTTTATGATGTTCATAACTTCAAATTTTTTAACATCTCAATGTATGAATTCGCGTTTAAGATATGCCTAAAGTTGCCTATCGATAAAAGAGAAACTAATATTATAATGCAGTTGAAGATGTTTACTACTATTTCAAATATAATATATACTACATACATACGCGCGCCTGCGCGCGCACGAACACAGATAGGTGATTATATATTTTTAATACATACTAAACGTAAATTGGCTTGTGAATATTTCCTTTATATTTGTATGGGCTTTATATTCAATGATAATACAATATGTTTTAGAATGGCTTATTCTTACATGTGTAACATTTGTACAAGAGCGACTGTATTCTTTACAACATACTCCATGTTTTTGAACAGTATTCAATGAAATTTCTCAATGTTGCCTTGAGTCTTATTTCATAGCCCCTTATAATCCTTAAACATCGCATATATTAAGTTTGAAAAAGGTTATAGGTTCGCTGGATTTGGAAAACAGCCCTTTCCGGAACATACGTTATAATGCTACATTATCCTATCATAAGTATGCATGATTTTAAAATAACTTTATCTTACATTCTTTGTTTTTATGATTCGTGTGATATTGAAAAGAAATATTTTATTTGTATTATTATACAAACATATAACATACTCATGCGTGTACCGACATTTAAAATATACATAAACAGCATTAGAAACAATCGATATAAATTTATTTTCTTTAAACAAGTTGCAATGATATATTTTATTATCAAACAGATTAAGAATCACGCGAAAGCAATGTCACATTTAAAAACTTTTTAACAGTTAAGTATTCTTGTACTTTTGTCAGAGTGTAATTACAAATATTTTTTTCTATGCCTACATCTGCTTATCTTGTTTATAAATTGACCAAGGCACAACATTATATTAAGTATAAAAGAACGATACATTAATTTCAAATTCATAATTTGAAATCACATTCTGTTCAAAATTTGCTGATGTGTGTGCAAAGAACACAAATTCACCCCAATGCTTACAGTGGTCGTTTCTTTATTTTATTCTACAATAATAATATGCTATGGAAAGTTTACATACACACACGGGGTGATATGTGCAATGTGATTGTTTCGAATAACGTAATTAGTTATGCACATTATTCTAAAAAACATACATCAAAGTTACATAGTTTAACGAGTAACTTCAATTATTTTTTCGCAATTTATTTCTTAACACCAGATATTCAATTATACAAAAATTATCTATATATTTTCATTTCCAAAAAACTATGTTTTTTATTTAGAGCATAATTTAGAAGTTATTCAAAACAATAATGCAAAGTATCTAATTCCGTGTGCGATCGTACGCGCATGTAAATCCATACATCTAAATCACCTAATATTAAAATAGTCCATCTGAATAATTAGTTCTATATTTTATGTCTTATTTTAAAATAATCGTGCGTTGATTGATGCAAAATGACACACCAGAGTCGTGACTCCTTTTCTCGCTTTAACGTCCCTCAAACTAATTATCTCGTTATTAATCCTCGTATCCAATTTACAATACTAGTTGTGTTGGAATATGGTGCTAGTACTTCCATTCAAATCAGTGGACATCTGTAGCACATAATTGTATTTTTAATACATTTATAGATGCTTCTGATTAAACTTTCTATTAAATTAGAACATCCAAATCTTTTGAAAATGTAGTTCAATTGACCTGTCATCTCAAGACTGTGGTTATCAGTAATGATACACCTTAATTTTCTTCACAATGTTTAATAAAAGTATAGTGAGAACTAAGTTCAAAACAATTTTTTTAAAAAGAAATAATGTATTGTACAACTTCATATACAAATTATATATAACAAATGACAAACATGTATTTACACTTTGCATGTTGTTATATGTATTACAAAATTGTTACCGCCGCGTGTAATACTTCATCAAAATAATTATCTTCTCGTTATTTGTTTCTATCTTATACGGTACAAGTAACCGAAAGTAAATATACAGAAAAACATAGTATTACCATTTTTATGTTCACTGGACTTTTCCATCAATATAAGCCTTTATAGCAGTTTGACATTCTGCAGAACACCAATGTTGGATCAACAAATACATCTCTGATTCTAATGCAGCGTCCAATTTTTTTCGCAAACTGTGACGTAGTAACGCCTTCGTAGCTTCCATGGACTGTGAACAAATAGACAGAGGATTAAATAACAATATCAAATGCATATGCAAATGAAGAAAACGCGGGATGTATAGTATAAATATTAATTAGCTTCGTGAGTACAATTAATATGAGTGCAAGAATATTCTACTGTTACTTGGTGATACAACCCCGATTCTATAGACTGGTATAGTTGCACGTATAAAAATGTATATCTTAATATATT